TCTTCCCGTGCCAAGTATTCCACGCCCCTCCTGAATTGGCCTCTGCTGCATGGTTCTGACATCTATTTAAAAAGTCACTATTTTCTTTGAATTGGAAAACAGAAATTTAAAGACTGTTCCGTATGGGTTTAGGATGAGTTTTGAGTACTTGGGTAAAAACAGGGGTTTGAAAAATTTGAACTGCGCAGCACAGCTCCAGTTCTGTGATGTGCAAATGTGCTCGGAGCCTGGGCTCTTGGGTGCTCTCTGGCTCACAGGCGCCGGATGATGAGCGCGCAACACCGGCCGTCAGGTGCTTGAGTTAATTAGACTGTGCTTGCCTGGGAAGCAAACCCGTTCTTCTGCCCTGCAACGGGGCTCCCTCCTCTCTTGTCCCTCGCAGAGGGTCAGAGTCCTGGTGGATATGGTGTCTGCCGCAGCGCGGTGTTGCCTGGGTCAGACACGCCTTACAGACATCGTGCACGCAGGTGGCGCACAAGTGTGGTGTAGTGGAACAGTAGCTGCTCTCGTGGGCAGGAACCGGCCCAGGGAGGATGGGGAGAGGGAGCTCTGGCTGCAGTCATGTCTGTGGGGAGCAGGGGACTCTGTGAAGCTCCTCAGTGACTTTGCTTTTGCTTCACAGGAGTGAAAAACTCCCTGGTGGCCCACGACATGGCTTTTGAGATGACACGGGCTCCCTGGAGCCCAGAGCAGCAGATAGAGCGGCCGCGACTCACCAAGAAAGTCCTGGACACGGAGGACCAGGCTGCCTTCCGGCTCCAGTCGAAGATGCCCAGATACATCTACTTTGCGGCCAACAGCAAAAACAAGTGGGGCCACCAGCGTGGTTACAGGATCCAGATCACCAGTTTCGCAGGGGACCATGTTCCTGAAGCCAGCTCCATGGAGAGGGGCATCAGCTGGGTCAGTCGTGTCTCACTGGGACGGCCGCTTCTCTCGCTGACGTCGCGCGGGTGTTCCTTGATGGGGAGGCACGGCGCAAACGCTCTCCTGAGCTGGGGTTACTCTGACGGAACAGACGTGTGCTCTGCAGACTCTCTGGGATCTGGCTTTTAGCTCTGCCCTGCCCCAAGGGCCTGATTCCCTCTCTTTTCTGGTCCCCAGGTACCAGCTGGCTGTCACCCGGCGGAAGGAGGAGGAGCCCGCCAGCACCAGCATCTACAACCAGAACGACCCCTGGACGCCCACCGTCGCCTTCGCCGACTTCATCAACAATGAGACCATCACCAACGAGGTGGGCCGGGGTGCCCTGGGCTGGTCATACCTCTCCCCTGGCTGCCCCAGCGGCCAAGCGGCCCTGGCATCGCCAGGACAGCAGGCTCAGCTGGGAGGGCAGCAGCCCTGGGGAAGGAGGGGTTTGAGCATCCTCTTTTCTGTGCATCCACTTGGTGCTTTGGCCAGAGTGCATAGGTCAGAGTGCAGAGCAGGAGCTCGTTTCTCCCTATGGAGAAGTGCTGGCAAAGCGTCAGGAAAATCTCTGCGAGGCCAGAAGTTGGCCTCAGGGTTCAGGGCAGGGGCCCTTCTGCTGGTTTGACATCTGCGGCCGTGGCTGCAGGCAGGTCTCTGGGAAAGGGGGAGGATCTTTCCCAGGAGGGGAGAGCTGAGCGTGTGGGAACGTGGCCAGGCTGGTGCCCGTGGATGTCCCCCCTCCTCTGCTGTAACTTTCCATGGCCCCTGCACAGATTTCAGTCGCTGCCACTGCAGCCTTCCCAAGTAACCACAGTTGTGTGGCTCTTCCCTGCTTAGGACCTGGTTGCCTGGATAACCACTGGTTTCCTTCACATCCCCCACTCTGAGGATATTCCCAACACTGTGACGGTGGGAAACGCTGTCGGCTTTCTCCTGAGACCCTACAACTACTATGACCTGGACCCCTCCATATATTCGCCCGATGGCGTGTTTTTCACCAGCGAGCAGGACTTCACTGCATGTGAAATTAACCCGATTGCGTGCCTGCCCAAAACTGCCTCTTGTTTGCCAAACTTCCCCCCGTTCACCTATGATGGTTTCCAAAATATGAGCAGGCTTTAACGCTACGGGACTGTGTTAGGAAACGGTCACAGACACCAGGTTGACTGTTCCTTCTCAGATTTTCATTTTTTTAGTGAAGTTGTCTCAATTTCCAGTTGTGCAATGACTTCACTTTTTACTATTGCTTTTAAAATAGTGCTCTTTAAAAGGGAAGCATAATCTTCCTGGCATGATGCCAGACAAGCGTCTACATTATCTCTGTTAATTGTGGAATTTGAGTCTGTTGCAGGAGGAAAGTGAGGAGGAAATCTTGTTCCTCTGCTGTAGAAGCAATCGCTGTGTAGTGCCTATTCTCAGGATAAAAAAATGAAAATGGTTCTGGTCCCAAGCGTTCTCAAGTGTCTTGTTCTTACGACTTACAGCTCCATTTGCTGAGGAGATGCTGCTGGGTCTCCGCTGTGTTTCTGTGTCCCCAAACCAGCCCAACAGCGAGGCTCTGGGCGCCCGCCCGGGCACAGGGAGGGGGCAGAAGGGACAAGCTGGGGAGGACCCGGGCAGGCGCTGGCCCCGAGCTCTGCAGGTGCTCAGGCTGAGGCCAGGGACAGAGCCAGGACCCGTGTGGGCTGCAGCTCCTGGGCACTCACTGCTGGGTGCAGGTGAGGGGAGCGAAAGGGAGGATGGCAGGGATGGGTGTCACTGTTCCTGCACCAGCACCGTCCCTGCGAGTGCCTCTGCACAAACTGGCCCAAGCTGAGCCCCACTGGCTGTTCATGGGCCAGCTCAGCCCCTCGCAGCCCGATGCTGGGCTTGGGCCAGGGCATGGGAGCCAGACTGCTCGAGGTGCAGCACGGCCGGTGCCGCTGCCCATGTGCCGGGAGGCTGGCTGGGCTCTGGAGCCATTGTCCCCCTCCTTACAGCCCCGTCCATGCCAGGACACAGCCCAGATCAGGAGGCACCTCTGGAGGGGTGCCTCAGGGCTGTCCCCTCCTTCCCTCCTGGCTGCAGGTGCGGTGCCCTCCCAAGCACGACTGGC